GTCTTCTGAAGACAACATGAGACTGAAGAGGACGCACGAACGTGTCAAAACTAATTTCTCTGATATCAGACTTCTAACTATTTGTTCCGTTTACTGTGGTTTTCTCACTAATTGCTGTACACGATATTGTGTTCTTTTATCATTATTATTACGTGTTTTCATTTTCCCTGTCTCATTTAAGCTCACTTTTATTTTATATATTTCCTGTCTTAATTTGTAATAAGTTCAGATTTTTATATGTTTTAATTGTATAAAGCAGATGATCAGCATTACAGTTGTATTTCATGAATGTTTTTGATTCTATTTAACTTGATTAAATTTGTATTGTAATTTGATTTATTGTAATATTTAACTTGAGCTTTATTTATTCTTTTGAGTTTTATTTTGTATTATACTTCGTTGTTTTTATGTATATGTAATTGTGTCATGCATGTAATTGAACGAAGATAATTATTGAAACTTGCAACATTCTTATTTGGATTTTACCGTATATTTTAAGGTTCGGGTCTAGAAACAACGTAAGATAAGGAAGTGGGTGGAGTTGTCTCAGTTAAAAAAAAAACTTATTTCATCCATCCATAGCAGGTATATAATATACATCTATGTTACATATTTCAATACTTGTACATATGTTTTATATTTGCTTGACCCATTTTTTGTGTTATTCCCTTGGTTACACTTATTACAAGGGGAGTATATGTTAGGGTTTTACTTTTCTTAATTATGTTTATTTAGGATAATCATTGACATAGATGACCTAAGGATTGTAGACACTTAACAAGACCTCAGCCTGACATAAAAGTGGGGTGTCTAAATGATTCTCTCTTTGTACCCTTGTGATTCTTTTCTTTTTATCGTATTTTCTGGAGTTTGAAATTATTCAACGTTCCATCTAGATTTAGCAATAAGGTTTTTTTGTACATCTCAGTAGAGTAAATTGTGAAATTTAAATAAATAAGCTCGATCACTTATTCCATATCACGACCAACAAACCGTAGTTTGGGCAATATGAACTTTCATCAGCCCAGTTAGGTCAATGATAGATACTGTCATTCAATAACAAGAACAGTTTTATTGGAATTGAATTATTTTTAGCAATTCTAGAGCATTTGTTGATACATATGCAAGGATACTTGTTCTTTTGCATGGGCCATCCGTGACTCAGTGGTTAACGTGCCGATGTCTGGATCTGCGGGTCATTCCTTCGCGTCCTGTTACCGCAGACAGTAATAATAACTGTGGATTTTGGGGCCGTGGATAAGTTATAAGATGACAGTCCAATCTCACTATTCGGTGAGACAAGAACACCCAAGAACTGACGATGGGTAATGTTGACTAGCTGCCTCGCCTCTAATCTAACAGTCCAAAATTAAGGACAGCATGCATAAAAATATTTTTATACATAGGTAAATCTTTTAGCATACAGCTTGCAAAGACTAAACCTTAAAATTTACTGTAGGTTTGTGTATTGTGTTGTAGTGTTTTTTTTTTTTTTCAACTTTTAAATACATTAAAGTAAATAATATTTTTCAGAATTGTAGTATATGACTCTATGTTTTATCGTATGTTGTGTTTCATCAAACAGAAGAAATGAATTCTTGTGAAAGCCAAATATTTTTCAAGCTGTTATTACTAAATTTTAAACTTCACAGAACCTGTCGCTCATTCATTCAGCAGCCTCTTTGATAATGAGAAATGTATAATTTTCTCGCCAAATAAATCCAAACTATCTCCCAAAAAACAGATGGCGCTATTGTAGGTTTTGACTTGACGGCTGTAGTAGTTCATAGTAAACACCTGATGATGTAATAAAGTATTATCATATATGAGTTCAGTGGAATGTCGTGTTTACGAGTAGAGTTGAACTGAAAGAAAAATACAGTAAGTGTTATGTCTCATTCATTAATACTAGTTGTTTATTCTGCTCGGAATCCACTTATAATTTTGTCACGTCACTTTACTACAGTTACACTATAATTTATAAAAGTTTGGAGACGGCTTGACTGGATAACGAAGAAAATTTTATTATAATATAAATGTACGACGTTTCGACAAGATTATGTCATCCTCAGGTTGTACATTTATATTTTATAATAAAGTTTTCTTCATTACCCCGTCAAGCCGTCTCCAAACTTTTATTTTCTAAAAAAAGTGGGTTCCTTGTCATAGACTATAATTGTCATACCATATCAAAAGGTAAAGGTGAAGTGAATAAATGCAAATCATATAAATGGATTATTTATTGTATAGTTATAGCTTGTGCCAGTAAGGTTTATACGTTATACAACAATGGCCAATAAGATATTGGGTGAAAACACAATATTTTTGGTGCTTGTTTTACTTTACTTGTTTTGTTAGTGTAATCATTATCATATTATTTAAAAAAATAAGTAACCCATAAGAATGTCATAAGTATATTTTTTTAAATTTTGACTTGTGTCTTCCAGTTTTAATATCTATTAAGACTACTGACTAGGCATAAGATATTTATTTATTTTGATAAAATAAATTAACGTCTGTTTTCTGACGTTAATTTATAGTAAAAATATTGCTTCATTTATTTATTTTTTCAAATTAATGATAAGAACAGGACCAAAAGTGAGATGAGAGCAGGATATTTGGGCCACTCATTTCTCCAGTGAACAAAATATATTCCAATTAAACGTAACCATTTGGATTCCTGTACCAAAAATTGTGTATATTTCATCATCTCGGAAAATTAACAGTTTTAAATGAATTATTTCTGTCAAAAAATAAGTTGGATTTTTTCATTTTAAATCCTACATTTGTTACTTTTTTGAGATTCAGTGTCAGCATTACTAGTTCTATCAGACCAGAAGAAAACATTTAAGTAAACAAACCAAGTTCTTAACAGTTTTGAACACCTGAATGGAAACAACTTTGAGGATAGAAACTAACTTCTCACTTTTTGAAATGTGTCATTATAGTAGCTCCACTCTGCATCTTTTCTAAAAAAAATAAATAGCAAAAACATCTACAGTTTTACCTGTGTAAGTGAAACATTTATAATAATAATAATAAAGATTTTAAAATGACCTATGATACAAGATAATAAGGTTAAATAAAGACTTAATGACACATTTTTGTAAATTAAAAGTATTACAGTACCTAATATAGAAAAAGAAAGTAAGAAAACAAGAGTACTAGTATTGAAGTCATGGAATACTGATGTCCTTCCTAAAATAAGAAGATCAAAATAAAATATGGTATTCATGATGGAAAGTGAAAATAATCTTATTACTTTTAAAATAAACATTTCTAACAATGTATCACAACTTCTGATTAGTTCCAGTCACAACATTCATACAATATGCTGAAGGTTTTAAGCTTTTCCCTCAAACACACCAGGATCCTTTTTCTTTTTCACAACACTAGCATTGTTCTCACACATAATGGTCTTTCTTATTTCATGCATCCCAGTTGAATAAACAAGATCATATAGCCTGAAAATTATATTTTTAATGAAGTTTAATATTTCAGTTGTAGCTTGTATTTATTATTTTTTCATTATGTGGTTCCTGGCAAAAAACAAAGGAAAGAAACCATTTAGAACTTTGGTTTTAAAAACTTACATTTTATATCTGTGATTTAACTACAAATGTGTAAATAGTTTTATTTCTGATGTACCAAAGACTAAAGTTGAACAAATTCAGACAGACTTATCTCATTAATAATAAACTAGAATTGTGGTATATAATCCTGTAATAGAAAAGGTTGATGCTATAAGTCATGATGATTTAGATATTATTACAATTTTCTCCTATAAAGATGAGTTGGAAGCACTGCATGTAGTTCTCTTTGCTGATTTTTATCAAACTTAATGCATACAATGATAGTCTTGTATGAATTTTCTTAGAAGTTAGATCTTAGGTGACCATACACTGATTGTAAAGTCATGGTGTCTTTATAAAATGTGGATATGAAATGTTGTAGAAATAACATAGAGCCAACCAAGCAAAAAAGTAATTTGACCCACATAGTTAAAATAAAACTATTATATTCAACAAGAATTTAAAGTTATGAGAAATAATTTAATTTGTAATATTACAAATAATATATAAGTATATTTAATATTTTAGTAAAAATCTGCTGTTGTGTTGAAAAATAATAAGTCTGTGCAATGAAGGCTAGAAGCTCTATGTGACAAATCTATGACATTTTTCTTATTTTAAAGGGATCATTCTCTTCCTAATTTAGAACAGTGGATAAATAACAAATTTAACACAATTTTTGTTTGAATTTTTTAACTTTCAAAGTACATCAAATGTTTTATTTTAATTTTTTTCATAAAACAGTGCAAATATTTCTTGAAAGTTAATACATTGAAATGTTTAATTATGACTTAGATTGATGTATTTGAAAATGAGCAGTTATTACATCTTTAAAAAAAATCAGATATTGTGCCAAGTTTATTCTGCTAATAAAAATTTTGAGTGTGTGTGTGTATAAAAATGTGGACATTTATAATATTTGTGGATTAATACGAAAAATTCTGGTGTTTCCAGTGATTGATCCATCATTTTTGCATTAAGATTTTTTTTAATACAGAAAAAAGAAGCAAAAGAAATAATGAGAAATCTTATTGAAATTTCTGTTGTTTGACATTTTTAAATTATATTTTTTTAATTACTAAGGATTTTCTTTAATCTCCTGAATGAAATTGAGGTATTTTCAATTGGCCTCAAAACTGACTGTAGTTTAAATTTTGGCATGTCACATAATTTTTTTAGATTAAGTATGTATAGTTTGAGCCAACTTTCCCCTCAAATTTTTATTTTTGGTGTTATTAGTACTGAATGTTCTGTTTCCAAATTGTCTCACTGAAACACCTCTTTAATAATAATGTTTATTTAAATATATTACGTTGAAATGTGGAGTAATTCTGTATTTGCCCTAACTCAGCTTGGTCTAGGATTGACGGAACTACAAAATTAACCCTGTTCAACTATTAAAAAAAACAGAGGACAGTGTAAGAAAATATACACAACTACATTCTATACATATTACTAATTTTGTGTTTCAATATATGAGTAAATGTAAAAATCACTTATAGAAATATAAATAGCTCAGTGATAATGAATTATTATTTGTGGTATTAAAATTATCAACAAACCTCCCTGACATTTCTTTTTTCCAAAAATTAAAACATTGACATATGTTTTTTTTCATCCAATAGTATCTTGAAAGATTGCAAATTATCAGCTCACTCCGTTTCAACCTTTAGATTACCAGAAAAATGATTGGCCTTAAAATATAATATTTAATTTTCATGTGATGTCATAGTTAAACAGTCAAAGCTTTTAATCAATCCATTAATCATGCAATATTTAAATAGATGAGGGAACAAATTCTGGAAACAATACTATGCACTGCTGAGGGTTAAGTATACACTAATGGTAATTGAAACTTATGTCAATATATTGAGATTTAAGTATTTGAGCTTGAAGAATTTAGCTATGTGAAAAATTACATAATTCTATTTAAGTTAAAAAAAAAGAGAATAAAAATTGCTGAGTTTCTTATTCCATAGCCAATTCTAAGAAGTAAATCGCATTACCGTCACGTTTTCTCTTCAATAAAAAAAGAGAACAAGTTCAACCAGTAAAATAAGTTCACTTCATAGCTAGCTCTTAAAACAAGCAAATGAACAGCAGTTTGTCTGTCTAGTACACCAATACCTATGCAGCCTTTTGTGTGTTTATATATGTATATATACATATATAATTCTTATCGCAAAGATAATACACACTTCACGGTTTTGTGTTTTACTTACGATTTATTTTATTTTGTGTAAAACGAGTTTCTAGAAGCGTTAACGTGCTGCGCTTTCAAATCACGCAATCTAAGTATAGTGTAAGAAATTAGGAGTGAAATAGTAACATGGCAACTATACTATCTCTGCCATATCGAGTGTTGACGAAGCCTTTCGTCCAATACCGGGGCACATCAGGCCGTCTAAGATATGTTTGTTTTTTAATTTCGCGCAAAGCTACACGAGGACGTCACTAATTTAGCAGTGAAAGACTAGAGGGAAGGCATCACCACCCACCGCCAACGAATAGTGGGATTGGCCGTAACATTATAACGCTCCCACGGCTGAAAGAGTAAGCGCAGTATACACATGCCAATGCCGGACCTGTCTAAGATCTAGGTACTATTTATATTATTAGTTATATGAATAATAACTGATACCGTGTGAACTAGATGAAGTAAGTGAATTGCAATTATTATCAGATCAGAATTATACCAAGGATTAATAACAGTATTATTTAATTGTTTATTTTTAACAACAATATTTGTTATTATTATTCTCACACGAATTAACTTTACAACCATTCAGAAAAAGGATGTTGGTAATATAATTTTCTCCCGTAATTAATTATCCGATGGAGAAAATTATATTACCAACATCCTTTATCGGATAATTAATTACAGGAGAAAATTATATTACCAACATCCATTATCGGATAATTAATTACCATGCTAGCAGATAATTCTTCCTCTGCACTGCACGAAATTTTATGTTGGATTATTTCTTCTTCTTTTTTAATCTTTGCAAATATTTTATTGAAAGTACAAAACGACAAAACTGTATATTTTATTTTTGCAACTAAAAAACAAAACTTTTTTTTATCTAGTATTAAAATCTTGTATTTAACTAGCAAGTGAAAAATAGACAACATTCGAGGGACAGGCCGTGTAAATAAACTTTGCAAGATAATAATGTTTTCGTCTTATCATCGATTTAAACAAAAGTTTCTTAAAACAGTCAACATATTATAACAACGTTTCTTGTATTATGATTTTCATCTACTTTATTTTTCTTGTGTCACCAAACATTTGTCGTCCGTGTTT